GATGGAATAAGATCATATGTTATCACACTATTGTAATATAGCCCTTGGATAATGATTTGAGGTACATCTTCAATAAAGATGTTTATGATACTACCCCAAAGCATTATTTTTTTTGATCTTTGAGTCAAAGGAATCGAAAATATTTTAAGGCCAAATAAATCCGATGATAAAGTGCTTAATATTTGTATATCAATGGCTGAAAATAATGTGCACATTGATGATAATGCCAGAGACTCTTTAATCCATTTAGAGAACAAAGGATTTGTTGCCATTTCAGATACAAAAATATTTATGGCAAATAAAATATTTATTACAATAGGTAAAATAAAGAATATCATACTAAATAATAATAAATAAGAAAATTAGTAATCAATTAAATTAATCTTCAAAATAATATAAATAAAATAACATTAATGAATTTCTTACGTTGGGATTTTTAAATGTGGTGTATTATTAACTTTTAATAATACAAATGCTAAATCCACAGCAAAATCTTGTATTATAAACCAGGTATCAAATATTACAGAGTTTTTTGCCTCAGGATTTTTTAGACGAGCCAAAATATATAATATTATTAATACAACTAAACCTACTATAAATATTATAATCAATGAACGATATTCTTCAAAATAATTTCCTGTAAAGTAATAGAATTAAAATTTAATAAAATATTAATCAAATACAAATGTCAAAAATATTTAATGAACACACTTACGGGTCATTATAAATGGTGCACTTTCATCAATTAAAGATGTATATTCATTAGATGAAAGTGCAGTAAACCTTTTTTGTTTGATCAAGGTTCTTAAAATTTCAAATATTGTTTGGGAGTTTGGTTCAATTATATGATCATCTTTAGCTTCATTTATTTTAAATGTTAATAATATTTTTTTTGGAGAAGTAGTGTCATATTTCCATATACCACTTGTCGATATCCTCTGTTCAGTTACTGGAATTGTTTTAGAAAATTCTCGAATCATACTCTTAAAAAATACTGAATGATTTGTTTGGAGAAATTTCAAACTTCCTTCTTCATTTAACCGAAGTAATCCAGTAACTGAATTTGAATGTTGTACTGGCGTATTAAGTGGTTCTAATAAATAAAGTAACAGACAGATAGAATATAAATTTTTCAATTCGATTATTTAAAAATTTTAAAAAAAAGATGTATATATTACCTGTTGAAAATGTCCAAATATTCTTTTTGATAATTCCTATTAAAGGTTCATCTCTCTCTTGAGAGATGACAAAATTATTATCAACCAACACATAATAGGAGGAGTTTGGTTGACTAAATGTACTTTCGAAAATTGGGATATGCACTGTATAGTTGTCACTTCCAACAGTACATAGTTTATGATCTCCCGAAAATGTTTGTCTTAATAGATCTGGTTTACTGGGATCATCACTTTGTTGAAATATTGAAACATTCGCAGTAGATAACTTTACTGGAATGGTATATTTGATCATTATTTCTTTAATCAAAGGATCAACAACTTCATTAATAGCTGGCTTTGTTGTTTCAATTACAGGACAACCATATTCAGTACCTACAGATATTAAAAAGAAAATATTAAATAAATATATATATATATATACCCTATAAAAAATTTTTCAGAAAAATGACCCTGTATTTGAGTTTCTTTGGAATAAAAACTAGAAAATTTTTTTATAGAATGTAAAGAAAGAAAAGCTTACTTCGATTATTTAATCTTGGTATAGATTTTAATAAAAACTCTAGTTTATTGTTATTCTGATTCTTTATTCCAACAATAGTATTATTTATATGAAATGTATTAAAATGAAAGAACTCTGGTCCAAAAGATTCCCATAATTGCGTATAATTACCATTATCATCTAAAAGATAAAAATCCATTGTACTGTGAATATGCTCCATAAGAAATCCTCCATAATATAAAATTTCAAAATCAATGTCCGTATTACTATTTGTTGGATTAGAAATTCTATTTAATTGTTCTAAGGCCCCAGTTGATAAAAATCTCAACTGATAGTAATTTATCTCAGTCCGGGATTTACTATTCTTCTTATTTATGACTGTATTATTTAATGCCATAATACATACATATCCTTCGGCATTATAAGTCACAGTACATGAATTAATTGTTATATTATTTAATCTTTTAGTGGTTTGGTAAACCAGATAAGGTATTGTGGGGGAATCTGTACCTTCTCTTAGAAAAGATACATATACTCTCCAGTATTGAAGATTTGGATCTGATCCTTTTGCTTCATTATATTTTAAAATATATATAAAACCAAACCCTCCATCTATTAATAAAAAATTTAAACTATCAACTAAGGTATATGATAATAGATTTGGTGCATGAAATTCACCATTTTTATGTCCCACTACTTCTCCTGTTATAATATCTCTAAAATAAGGTGAAAAAGTTAATTGACTAAACAATAAAATATTTTCAAAAAAAAAAAACTAATTGTCATTCATAAAAATACTTACGGATTGCTAAACCAATGCCATGCTGCTATTCCTTCTTTATCTGGTTTTTCAATACTAATAAACCCTTTATATGGTACTATGCTACGTTCAACAAATCCATTAGCATTTCCTAAATATATTTCACTAAAAAAATGTTATTATTAAATCACTATTATTGACTTTCATTAATGAGAATTTCCATCATTCAAACTTACTTTATAGACTCATTCCTGTAATTAATTATTATGCCATATTTTCCCTTAACACCATTGTTTGATTTAACATAAACTATCATTACATGATTATCAGTTAAGGATAAAATATCCATATTAATGGGACAAATTGCTTCCACAGGAAGAGTGTAATTAAAATCCATATATTCTATTTTTCCTGTTTTATCCATCAATCGTAAATGTAAATAAGGTAACATGCATGCTGGATCTTTATCTTCAAAGGCCATCCAAATTATCAAAGAACCATCTAAACTATAGGAGTAAGTATTATATAATTTTAACCCATTAATTGGTTCTTCATAAATAAATGATATATCTTGGGTTGATATATCTTGAAGGGATGTAGTTTGAGATGATGAAATATTTTGAGAAGAAGATAGTACGTTTTGAGATGAAGCAAAAAAGCAACAGATGGATAATAAACAGACAAAGGTGATCAACATCTTTGAATTGAACATTTTTACTAAGAGACTTGAAAAATGATAATGATAATTGATAAATTTTTTATTTGGGAGATAGACTTGAAAAATGATAATGATAATTGATAATTTTTTTACTTGAGAGATTACAGCAGAACAACAGAACATTTATATATATTTCTCATCATTATAATCTAAATTTATTTATTAACTATTAATAACTTTTCTTTTTATCAAACATGTTTCAAAAAAAAAAATTATAATCAAATGTGTTTCAAAAAAAAAGCATTTCTATTACTATACTACCAAATTTGTATTTCAAAAACTGATCTGCGTTGCTTTATTAACATGTAAAAAAACGTGGTGATCAATATCACACGGTCTTCATTTTTTTTATCCGCAAAGAATTTTTTTTACAGAAGCTTTCATTAGTATAATACATTAATTTTAACTATAAAAACTGTGAAAATATATTATAGAAATTTGAATTAGTTCATTAATAGTTAGTAATTAGTAGTTAATTAGTAATTTAAATGGAAAAATTAATTGTTATCTTTAAAAGTAATTTGAAACCTAGTATTTGGTATTGCACATGCATTTGGTATCAAAGGAGTTGTAAAACGTCCATTGCCTTGTACAAATAAATTTTGGAAGCAATTAAAGCATAAGCATGAACTTAAACATATAGTAATAAAATATTAAATTTATTAAATTTATTAAAATTTATCATAATTTTGGTGATAAAATTATGATATCACTGCTGGCAGAAAATTTTGACATTTTGGTGTATTACTCTATGATCATTGGATGCAAAATGGTGCAATAAATAAGCCAATTTGCTGACATTTTGACATATTATTCCTCATCTATTGTACCTGGAGATATGAAACCATTACCATTTGTGAGACGACTCTAGTGAAGCAGAACAGTATTGCAAGGGAATGGAAGGATATTCATGAAATAAAGTTTATGTCTTAATTTAGCGTAAAACAATGGGAGCGAGGTAACACAGCATAAAAAATAGAACAATTTTAACACGATACATTCCTATTGTCATGATCACCGGTTAAACCGATCTATTTTAAGATAACAATCCGTACTACGGAGACATGACATGCTACACGTAACATGTTACAGTCGTTACATTCGTTACAATACACTTAAACTTATACAGGGTAATATAAATATATAATAATTTACTTATTCCTGTTTTTCCGTGTTTTTTTATTCCATGTTATTTCCGTAAATGTATCATATTCACGGAGTTTATAGCCTCAAACATGAAAATTATCCAAGTTACTTAAATTATTTTCTCATAAATGTATCATTTTCACGGAGTTTTTCAGAAATTACGTTTTACAAAGGTTAGTTTAATTAGTATTTCAATTTAACTTATAATTATGAATAATAGTTAATTTTCTATTACTATTAAAAATTAATTATATTTTATTCCTATTACTTTATTATTACTGTCCAAAAAGAATTTAATTACTAGTATTTAAAAAATTTATAAAATAATTATATTAATAATTAAAATTGATGAACTGCAATAAATATTATATATATATATATACTACAATTAGTACAATATGTAAAATCCATTATCTATATACCGAACAATCTCTCGCTTTCATGAAAGAATATGAAAATGAGGATAAAGAAAGTGAAGAGGAGAAAAAGAAAATTATTCTCTTAATACTGTGACTTGAAATCGACTAGTCAATCGTGCATTCAAATTAGCAATATCACTGTAATTACTGCGGTTATCATACTTTTTAATAAAAACATAAATGTTTTTAGACTTTATATTCCAAATTTTTCGAGTATGACGTCTTAGCACGTGCTTTGCATTTCATATGAGAAAGATAGCATAATCACGCCAAAGTAAAAATCAAGTTATGTTATTTCTACTAAAATATATGTGAAATATCAACAGTTAAAAACTATCGTTATTTCTACTAAAATATATGTGAAATATTTACTCAATTATCTAAACGTGATAACAACGAATTCAAAGTGAATTTCAGTTTGACTAGATTATTAGTATAGTTAATGTAATATTTGAGTTTTTACGATACTGATAATAAGCTTGTAAGGTAATTATTGTTCTTGAGATTTTCTGCATTATATCTTTATATAATTTACTAGGGGATATTAAGAAATGATAACAATGATAACATTAAAATGATAGAATAAAAAAAATAAATAAATAAATATAAATAGATCTCTTAAGTAATTATTTTAACAATTTGCCACTGATAAAAGAATAACATTATGAATTTTCATTATATTTAATTTTTAATTTTTTGAATATCACATTTTAATAAAAAGAATCCGATAGACAATACTATACGTAAAAAACTCCGGCTACGTGTTATATGGTACCACTGCTTCGAATTACTTCGAATTATCTAGCCCATTCTAAAAACCTTTCAAAAGCTGTATCTTCATTTTATATTTTTCTTGTCTTACTTTCCGTTTCAAAAATTAACATACGCCATAATTTCTTTCTTTACAAATAGCTCGGATTCCTCATCTAAAGTCTGTATATGAATCAAAGAATATAAAAAATCAATGATTTGGCTTATTAATTACTCTTTGATATTTAGTGCAAATAGTAATCAACATACCATAATCATTTCTTTGATTAAGTCTTCAGCTGGCTTTTTATTACTACATAAATGATCAATAACAAAAGAGAATAATTCATCTTCTTGTACGCCGAGATATTCAACAATTTTTTTTATTTACAAATGGCTGTAACTTTTTGCTAAGAACATTCTGTTGTGAAATAATTATTATTTATGTTAATAAAAACAAAGATTTTTTTAAAAAAAGGAAGAAAATTTTGAACCACATATGAAACTTACCTCATCTAATTCTTCCTATTTAACATTCCGTTGATATAGTTGCCACTATTAAATTCTTAACTAATTTTCTTTTTCCTTTCTTCGGCTCTCTATATTTCAAAGGCGACATTTACGTTTTGATTCAATACCTTATTAATCGTCAAATTCCTCATCTTCAGCTAGGGCCATAAATGCCGCGCGACGTTTTGATGCAAGATTAAGAGTTAGTTCTGGTTTAACGCTATTATTTTGTGAAGCACCAATTGTGGCAAGCGTTAAAATATCTTTTTCATTATTTAATTCTGCTTCCATAGCTTCTCGAGTGTTTGTAATCGATGTTGCTCAAGCACAATTTCTTGCTGTTCTCAACCTATCTATCTGCCTCATCCATAGCCAATTCACGTACTCTGTTGTCGATGGAACCACCAGCGGGATCTACATAAATTATAAAAGTTAAAATTCATAATTTCTCCGTTAAATTGATTACAATATGAATGTGATATACCTGTCTTTGTAATATTCTTCTTGACCGCTATCAACTTCAATGTCATCGCCCATTCCGCTAACTTTCTCGCCATTATTTCCCGATCTCGAATTTGTTTTTCTCTAACATCTAATCTCGTTCTGCTTCACGTTCACGATTTGTTGCCATTGTTTCTTCTCTATGTTGCCATCTTCTTTCTCTCTAATATAAGATAATTATTATTAAAATCAATATATATAATCCAAAAACAAAATATTAAAAATAATTTAATATACCCATTTAAAAGCAATTTCCATTTCAGTTTTTCTTTTAACTTCAGTTGTCTGCGTTGTTCCTCTTCTTTATCGTCTAAAATATAAGATTCGCGTATTGATTCTCTTGCAGGAACAAAATTTACTGTTGATGATAATGTCTATATTGCCGATCTCGATCTCTATCGCGAACCCGCTCTCTTTCTCTCTCACGTTCTCTCTCTCTATTTTCCCTTCCATGTGACCGTTCTCTTTCTTTTTCAGCTTTAGCTCTACGATTTGCTCGTTCTTCCCCTTCTCTCTGACGCTCTCGTTCTCTTGCTGCAGCACGTTCTCGAAAGAATGCTATTTCTCAGTAAATAATGAAGATCCTTTTGATCTGGAGGAAGATCAACCGGTAAATCTTTCCTCTATGTTCTGTTTTTATTTCTGTAGCTGGTGATGTTCAATGAGCTAGTTTATTTTCATGCTGCGAATTTATTGAAGGTGACAGATCTCTTCTATCCTGTGGCTTAGTCATGTCTTCAACAACGTGATAACAAGGCATTTTTACCTAACTCTGTATCATGCTGAAAGACAATAATTGACATCAATTATGATAGCTAAAAAAAAAGAAAAAAATTATTTCTATAGTTTAATACAGACCATTGAAGCCTCATATTGAGCAAGGTATTTTCTTGTATTTTCATCAGCTTTAACCTATAATATATGTGGATAAAATGGTATTTAGATGAAGAATTAGGATCAAAAAGTAATTTATCAAGAAGTGATTGCTTACTATTAACTTTTTTATCATCACCCAAAGCTTTGACACCAAGTACACGCAAAGAACGCAGTACACTGTCTATCAGCATCAGCATATTCCGCAATTTCACAATCGCAAGATAAGCAAATCAAAAAAAAAACCAAAAATAAATTGTCAGCTATAAAATCACACCTGAAGATGTTCATGCGCCAATAAGTTTTCAAGACTAAGATAAATTCGAAAGATATCTGGGAAAAAGGTCGTAAGAAAATTATATAAAGTTTTTTCTTAATACACTTCAAAATATTTACGCCTTCGTTTAAAGCTCCAAGGTTCATAAGAATCCAATTTGATAATATAGTGTACGTTAAAATTTCCATCCCTTCGATATATAGCATTCATTTGCCCACCAAAAAATTAAATAATTGAGAATTTTTTCCAATCATCAGTTACTCCTGGTGATATCCCTCCAATGAAAAGAGTTGTCAATTTTTCTATATCTGAACCTGGAGCTGCCATTGGTGATATACTACCTAAAGGTATACCATAAACTGGTCTAGGAGCCATATAGTAGCAAGCTGTACGTTGTGTGGGAGTACCAGAAGTATAGCCATTCCGCGAGGTTTGTCCATAGGTAAGAGGACGCCTGGTGGAGTAAAGGGTGGTCGTTCGTAAGGAGCCCGATATTGAGCCATGAAATGACAGCAAGTAAAATACTATTTAAATATAAATATAAATGAAGAAATCAGAACGGGAACTCTGCCGTAATGTCCTGCTGGGCGGTTAAATCTTATATAGGATTTCTGTTGAGTAACGTAGTACATGTTTTAATTAGTAGTCCATATTATTAATAATCACGTAATTAAATGTAACTTCGAGTTACACACAAAGCTATTTGTAATAACATGATGTAAAGTAAAAATAGCTATACTTTAACAACGAATCAAAATTATGGAGGCGATTTATAATTCGGCGATGGAAGAAGAATTTGGATGTGGACTTCAATAAAAAGTCAACAAGAAATATTTGGCAAAAATGAAAAATATAATGAAGTTTAAGGGACCAACGAAAAAAGTTTGTTTCGAGTCAACAAATACTTCATCATCTAGTTACCGTATTCGCATTTGATTGAGTTTACATTTATTTTATTGTGTTACATTCGTAAATTGATCGACAGTGATACACTTATTAGTATTTTAATATAATTTATTTCACTACGCGTTTATTAACATTTATTTGCTTACCATACATATACGCTTATTTTCATAAGCATTCAAGAACTGGCATAACAGTATCTTAATATCTTAATTTATAAAAAAAACCAAATATCGGGTGGAACTACTAGTACTATACATACTAAGTAGTATGTAAATTTAGTACAGGCCGAAATTCATTTCAAATAATGATAAATTGTAAATTTAGCATAAACTTAGTAAATTTTCGCCCTCGTAAAGTAGTTAAGTATTCATTAAAAAATATGCAAATTTAAGTTATTTAAATTTTTATCTCTGTAAAGTAATAAGTGTTCATTAAAAAGAATAGTATGCAAATTTAAATTATTTAAATTCTCATATAAGGCCGAGCAAAAAAAATTTTTTAGATTCTTGTGACATAAAATTTTAAAAATAACCCAGCTGGCCGGCATTTTTTTTTATATATGTAAAATTTGTTCATATGTAAAAAATTTTTTTACGCACATTGGCCAAAAACTTAAAATCATGTGATAAAAAATTTTTACTATAAAAAAAAAAATTTCCATTTTTCGAAAAACTGACCCGGCCGGGTCACGAGAATCTAAATTATTTTTTTGCCCGGCCTTATATGAGAATTTAAATAATTTAAATTTGCCATCAAATATTATTTAATAGATTAAAAATTTTCAATTCGTACTATTACTACTTTTTTAAGATCCATATGATAATTTTTTTATGATTTGAAAATATTTATTTATTTTTTTTTTTTTTTTTTTTTTTAATATCCATGTGAACAAGATTACAGAAAGATAGACAAGAACAAATTAAAATAAAAAGTCAAACGCTATCTAAACTACGCTATAATCAAACTGCCCGAAGATAGCGCCACCCTGGTGCAGAGATTTAGGGTGACCCAACTGAGTGATACGAATAGTAGTAGAGTATGGTGGAAGTGTTGAGTAGAGTATAACGTGGATGTGGCATTATACTCAAGTGATAAATAAACACCTCGGCCCAAGCTCAGCCCAGCGTTTTGGCCGGGTGTCTATTCATCACTTGAGTATAGTTCACACCCTTTATGTTACACACCACTAAACATCACAATANAAAAAAACTGGTTGAATTCATAAGGTAAAATTCTTTATAAATTAAAAAAAGTAAATGTAATTAGGTAAGACGAAAAGTAGTAGAGTAGGGCCGGTGTGTTGAGTAGAGTATTGTGATGTTTAGTGGTGTGTAACATAAAGGGTGTGAACTATACTCAAGTGATGAATAGACACCCGGCCAAAACGCTGGGCTGAGCTTGGGCCGAGGTGTTTATTTATCACTTGAGTATAATGCCACATCCACGTTATACTCTACTCAACACCTCCACCATACTCTACTACTATTCGTATCACTCTTATGTTACACACCGCTAAACATCACAATACTCTACTCAACACACCGGCCCTACTCTACTACTTTTCGTCTTACCTGACCCAACTAGGGCCACCCTAAACCCACCCCGGACCACCTACATCAGTAGGTATTTATTGGTATTTGGGGCCAACTGCAGTGTGTCAAGGGGATTACTCCCCATTGACCACCTTAGCAACACTGTAACGTGTTATAGGGTAGAACATGATTTGAAAATATTTATTTATTTATTTATTTATTTTAAGGTTAGTCAGGAGAATACATTGATAATAAATTGAACTAATAAAAATTATAAAAAAAACACAATGTAGAATCATCGCTCAAACATTCGAGCCCTGACTAAAAAACTATCTAAAAACACAACCGAATAAAGATAGCTGATTTGAAAATATTTATTACTTAAATTCATTCGAAATCATCACAAAATTTATCGTCACGTGATCGATTCAAAATTGATGCGATTGAGTACTAGTAACTGCTTGGTAGCAAATCACAGGTTTCTGCAAAGTCATACTAGAGTTATTCAATTTTTATAATTGTTTACCTCAATGTATTTCCAGCCTTTGGGCCATGTTAATTACAATTACTGCTACTCACCAATGGACCATCAAATGAGTAGAAAAAAGTATAGTAAATAGTTATGATAATGATGAGTTTCAAAATATTTTTTTAAAGAAAATAATTTCTTAATTAATTTATTTTTTAATTCTTAACTAGTATACTAACTTGGTAAGACGAAAAGGAGTGAATGGTGTTTATCACTTGAGTAGGGAATAGGGATGCCAATACCTTTCACTAATATATAACATTCAGTTGTTTACTTTATTAAATATATATGCAAATAAAGTGTGTTTACAACATTGTAAAAAATAAATTACTACGTTTTGACTATATGTTTACAATAGTAAAATAGATACAGTGAAATCGTTTTTACGGTAAATTAAAAAAGTGTAGTGGCGGTGCATTTTTTCACTTTTGCAACGCGTTGTATGACGTTTAATAACGACGCACAAAACGACGTGTGAATCATATGATTTTAGCGCAGTGTCAACGTTTTTTAAAAATTAAAGATACTTTGTAAAGCACATTTCTATTTAATTCTTTTAAAAAAGAAATCGGTACAAATTTTAAAGAAAACAATATCGAAGTTTTTCAAAAACTTATGATTTCTAAAAGAAAGGAAATGAAATTGAAAGATAGTAATAATTTAGGACTTTATGACTAACTATATATGTAAACTTTTTTTTTTATATGAAGTATTCTATAATTTATAATAATGCGATCAATTATTGATATCATGCTTTGAAACAATGCTAAATAAGTGAGAATGAATAATGCTTGATAAAAAGTTTCTAATATACAAAATATGATGATGAATAAACTAGGAGCTGCCTGTTATTCCACCTTTACCTCCGCCTTTTTTAGGTGCAAACGTAGCCCTGACTTTGCCGTCTTTTTCTTTCGATGGACTTTCGTCTTTTTGAGCATTTTTTCTTTAATAATTAAATTAATAAAATTAATAGATTTCTTTCGTTGATTTTTAAAAAGTATTAATATTCTATTTGTATTTACCTCTTAATTAATTGATCTAAATTCAAAGGAGAGGCTGTTACGATAGTAGCCATAAGTACAATCAAGAGAGCAAAGAAGATTTGACGCAAATTCATTTTTATAGCGTGTATCTTTTTGTGTTTGGATATTTTTAATTTCTTATTTAAAAGAACTATTCTTTAAAAAATTTTTATTTTATTTTCTGAATTAGTTGAATTGTGAATTGGTGAAATTCTTAACAAGTGGGAAAGCCATTTATATATTGATTTTTTTCAATATTATTAAATAGGCTGTATTCCCTTGAATGATCAACAAAACGAAATTAATTTTACAAACAATAAATTTGGTATTCTTTGTAGTTTATCTTTAAATAATTAGAAAAAAACTTTCAAACATTTCTTTCTTTCATCTTTAATATAACGACGTAATTTAACAATTAATTTCGAGCTTTGTTCTGTAGAGGAGTGATTGGTTGAGCTTGTTTAATAGTTTTTTATCTTTTAAAAAGGAAAATAAAGAAAATAAAAAAATCGAATTTTTTTAAACAACCAATTTATTTTGTCTTGCATATGTGTTATTGGTTAAACTAAAAAGGAAAACAAAGGAAAATAAAGAAAATAAAGAAATTTTGGTCCTTGTTAAAGGTTAATTTTGTGTAACGACAAATAATAATGCATTATGTATTTTAATTGATCCCCATATAATAAAAAGATTATCACCTGATCAATTAATACAATTTGTGTTTCAAATATTATGAATTCAGATTGCATCAGATAATTTATTTTGGAAGATTTGGTCATATTCAAAGCGCGCGCAAAAAATAACAAAAATGTAAATATGATGCAAAAAAAGCCCAAATCATACAAAAAAGGTTTATGAAAATTTTTTTCCGTTAACAAAATTTTATTTTTAAACCTCTTAAATGTCTATTTCCTTGTTTTTAAAGAAAGAATGAAAAACATAACAATAATGCAAGAAAAAAATCTTTATGTAATTTCTATAGTATTATCATCCTTTCTCGGATATTCAAAAAAGGTATTTTATAATATAGCGTATCAAATGTTCTTCTAATAAAATTAAATATTATTGAAACATCAGCGGACATTAAAGAAAAATTGGAATTGGATCATATATATTAATACTATTCCGTTGTAAATACATGGCCAACAGAATAATTAATTTATTAATATTATTAACAAAATTCGTCGAAAAAAACAAATAAAGGATTGCTTAAGTGCTCTAATTATAAATTATGGTACATTTTCAATAAACCATATTTAACTAGTACTATATACAGTAGGTGCGCCGCAGCTGAAAAATTGAATTAAACAAGATGCTTTAAGAATACTTATAATTAAATAAATGAATAAATGTATTCCTAGTATATCTTAGAACTAGAGGGCAAACGATATT